GAGAGAGAGAGAGAGAGAGAGAGAGAGAGAGAACGAGGATCTGGATAAAACACATTTCATCATCATTCTCATGGAGTTCCAGATTGGGTGGCTGGTGGGTGCTCTGTCTGGAGTGGTTTGCTCCTTCTTTCCTATCGAACATCTATCATACTTATTTCTTCTCCTTTTTTGTGATTTTTTCTCTCTTGTAACACCCTTTTTTTAGCACTTGTATGACATAATTGTGTTGCAAATGCCGTAAAACGCTTACTAAACCTAAAATTAATCGAGTGCCAGATTTGAATCAGACATCGGTGATCATAATGCGCAAGTCATTTGATATATTTAATTTCAAAAATCAAAGTCACGTCTTTAGGACGGGCGACATAGAGCCTATATATTGCACTGCAGTCGCCCCTGTGCACTGACTGTTCCCTACAAAACACCAACAAAAGTGGAGATCTTAAGCAACGTGTGTTGTCCAAGATGGTCACCCATTGTCGGGGAGATAAGTGGTCACCTTAGACGGGTGGGCGTCTTGTACAGTGTTTTTATTACTATTATTAGTATTATTAAAACAAACGCAAGGAGTAGTGGTCCTTTGTTCAAGGGATTGTCTTAGAAAGGTGGTCTTAGATCAGGATAATGTAGCTTTTTTTTTTAGAGCATCGTAGCAAAAGAATGGAAAACCATGATCGCCGATGTCTGTCGCGTGTCTGACACTTGATGATGATGCATTTTGTGCTCATCCTTTTCCGGCCATTCTGATCGAGTACGTCTTACTCAAAAGCGTCTGCTTGAGGTTTTTTCACATTTTTCTCTAAAATATTTTCGTCATTTTAAAGAAACCAGAATGCCAGTCTCACAGAGACCCTTCGAATGAGTGACATGATCTCCTGGCAGAGGTTGACCTTCGCGAAAGTCACCGACTGCTCGTGTTCCTAGATTGCTTTTTTGTAACCCCCCCCCGCCCCCCAAATCGTGTGTGTATCTCTCTCTCTGTCTCTCTGTTTGTCTCTCTCTCTCCCT